ATGAAGAAAGAAAATAAAGACGGAAGAAGCCGAAGAAATGTTGAAAACTTTGAGGTCGGAGACCTGGTTTTATTAAATGCTCAAAATCTTCCTACACATGCAGTCTCTGCTGTCATTAAGACAAAGCACCGTTCACAGTTTATTGGACATATTAAAGTCGTGGCCAAGCAAAGCCTTGTGTATACGCCAAACCTTCCGAGTTGCGCATCTACCCGGTATTTTATGTGGACTTGCTTAAAACATACCGGGATCCCTCGCAAGTAAACGCGAAAGCGTTGGCGCCGGGACGGCGCCAGAAGGCGCTCGGCCACCCTGAAGTTGGGCCAGCAACTAGTTCTGAGCACGGAGTGCATTAATTTCCATTTCCAACGACGCAAGGCGCTCCACCATCGCAGGAAGTGACCTTTCGTCTGCTCGAAGACTAGGAGCCGCTCTGACAGAGCACGATAATCCTCAACGTGAGGCAGTCGGTTCAAAAAAGTGCTCTAAGATCTTGAGGTCATCCGCACAACGGTAGGCGGCCTCGCAGAGATGTTTGGAAGAATGCCGATGACGACGGACTTTGTCCTCCAACGCTTCAAGAGTATCGCGAGTCACCCGACGGTGACCGACCAAGTTGTCATCACCCGCCGCCGACTCTTCTCGATGATAATGGTGGCGTCCACTAACATGTGGAACGCCTTGTCGGTCGAAGTAGTCAATATCTTACGCTGTTGTGGGGATACCCAACTCCGAGAACCTACGGGAGTTTGCGGGGCCACTTCGGCAAGACCAGAAGGATCATGACGCTCCGCATCGTCGTGCGCCTGGCGCTTCTCGGCGGTAGCCCGAAAGCCGAAAGGCCATGAGCTGGGCTCAAACTATGACCCTTAGGTGTTGTGGTCACGGACTCACCCGTGTGAGAAACCACAGAGCTCGCGGAAGCATGATGCTAGCACTTTTAATCGCGACTTTGTGTAACCATTCGACCTGTCCAGCTCTGGCGCACGATATTGCGAAACACAGTCGCTTTCTCTCTTCATCGGCTCTAAACCGGTAACAGCCTCACAGCAAGACCCTATCGTCTCGCCAGGGATACAATTTGGGAACCACGACTTACAGTTGTCCTTTCTCGTCTCAACAGATATACTGCCTGGAGACCACGGTATACAGTCGCGCTGTACCGTCTCATCGCCTCCCTGCATCTTCTCCTTTTCAAGCTCAGCTCTAGACACCTTACAATTGCTGTCTATACTGATCAATTTTATGTCCGACAAATGCACAGAACTAAACTGTTTCAAGTTTTTGTCGACCCATGGTTCGTGGCGTTCCAGCCACATCATGGCTAAAATAAGATCATGCTCGAATCTAGGCTACTGATTAGACAACGCTTCATGCTATCAAAATTTGCTTAAAGTCCCAACAAGACCATTGACACGATTATCATTGTCCCCGTCACAAGGATAACGTATCCGTATTTGGTATGTCCAAAGGCTCCACGCAATGTCTACTGTTTTGACAGTCGCGCATTGTTAGTAAGTGCACGACCCCCCTAAATCTTTCAGAACTTTCCGGAATTTTCAAAGCCCCGGGCGATGAGATTAGTAAGTTTAACGATGTACTAGCAGCCCAACCTCTCCTAGAAAGAGTCGTTTATTTTTGAGCTGGGTCATATCGACCACGATTACCGAGAGAACAGAAAAACAGGTCTTTTCCAGTAGGGTCTGTAAAGCTCACTGGTACTTGACGTTTCCCCCTGATGGTTTTGTTGCCCGCCCTAGCGCATTACTCCAGTCCTTCGTCTTTCTTAGATGTGAGCAAAGGATGTATGGCGAAGATACT